ATACCAAAAGTTAAGATGATTTTCTGGGGGTGCAGTCTCAATATAGGGAGAAGAGGGGTTTTAACCCTGTTTAGTACATACCATTTGAAATGCTACAGGACTGTACAGTACCAGAAACTGAAAGGAAAAGATGACTGGTAGAGCATCTCAGGGGTCCAGCACTAGATATTATTTGTACTCTGAAGCTGGATAACTCTGGGGTTATTAGTAAAGTTGATTACACAGGAAGTATGTAATAAATTCACTTCTACAATTAATAATCAATTTCAATCATACAATCACAAAGAGGGACTTAGTACACTTTATTTAAATTATCTAGAAGGTAATATAACCCAAAGGGGAAGACAGGAAAACAAACTAAATGACTAACTGGCAAAAAGCCAGTTACAAATGTGACCCTTATTAAAGAATTTACTAGATGGAAAAGTAACCAGGGAGAAAATTAGGTATGCAATTAGTTCACTTCAAGCTAGACAACTACCAGGCTTAGATGGACTGCCTGTCGGATTTGATTAAACCTACCAAGAATGGCTATAGCAGCGTTTATTAAATATACTGTTATACAGAGTATTATATCTCAAGGGAAGCTAATCATCCAGCCTGGAATATCTCCTTTTCTTTTGAGCTAAATAAAAATCCAGATTCTTGAGATCTCTCTGTTTCCTTCACAATGACTCAAAAATTCTAATCTAAAATATTTTTTCAGTATGGATTTAGTAAATGGTAGATCCACCAGTTTATACTTGGAGAAAGCAGTTATATTAAATGACAGTACAGAGACTCTGATATTTTTACCAAAGCTACTCTGTCTAAAAAGTGTGCAACAACTCCCTAAAACGGAAGATTTGTCAAATACACAATGAAGGTGCCAGTTGCTAGCAAGAATAAAGTTGTGTTTATAGACTCGGAGGTTAAAGTCACAACCTGGTGGACAGCTCATGATACCATCTATATTTTTTGCTAGTCTCTAAGGTGCTGCAGGACTATTCATTGGTTTTTAAGTTTTTTTCTATTACAGACTAATACGGATACCCCTATGAAACCTGGTGGATGTTCCACAGTTTTGTCTCTTCTCTGCACAGATATAATAGTCATAAATGTGCAACTTCTATTGGTAGTCATTCACTAGAATCAGTATTTTTTTTCTTTATCTGGCAATTCAATTATTCAGCTCTGAGGTACTGAACTTATTCCTTGTGACTTCTATAGATATTTAAGGACTCTAAACAAGAGCCAAAGATTTACAATAAGCTCCTTTATACATACTTTAAAGCAGTCTTCTATTCCAGTGCATTTTAGTTCAAATGGACAGAGCACTGAACTGGGAGTCAGGATGTCTAGGTTCTATTCTGATCTTTACTATAGACCAGTAGAGTGGCCTTGGGTTACTCACTTCACCCTGGTGTGCTTTTTTCCCCTCCCTCCCTCTCTAGCTCTATCTTTCCTATTTAGCTATAAACTCTTTGTGCAGAGACTTATTTCTATACATAGTCAGCTTCAAGCACAATGGGGTCTCAATTCCATTTGGGACTTCTAAATGCTGTTATCAAAGAGATGAATAATATTTTAGACAAAACCGAAGAGGTCGCAATAAATAAAATAAGGTAGAAGTTCCAGGACATACTATTTAAATAGGTTATTGTTTTAAATTTATACTTAAATTTAACAGATCCCTTGCACCTGTGTTATCACCTCTGCCCTTTGCATGGTAACAAGGGTACAACTACTGGCAGGTATCAGTTATCCAATCACAATTTATGTCAGTAGGCTTGCCTGCTGCACTGGCTCTCCCTCCACTCACTGCTTTGCACAATGATTTTGTCATGGCGAACCATATAAGTGGTGCAAAAAAGGACAATCTCAGAGGAGTCAATCATAGAATTGAAAGAAAATATGACTAAATCTCTACTAGGGATGTAAAATCCCATTTAATTAGTTAACCAGTTAAACTTCATCTTTTAACCAGTTAACTGATTAAATGGGGGTGATTGGGGGCTGCTCTGGGCACTCCCTGACTTCAGTGGGCCCCATGAGGGTGAAGTAGCTCCTTGCTTGCAGCGGGCAGAGGGCTGGCTTCAGCTCCCACTGGTTAGTCATTCATATCTCTAATCTCTAATATTATCCAGAATGTTCATGTAGATGGAAGTAGGGCACATAGATCCAATAATTTGAAGTGGAATAAAAATGCTTATTTTCCCATTATACCTGTATATAAAGCTACAGCTTTAACACTGTAGCATTAGAATGAGAGCTGATCAAAACATGAATTCCAACATTTTGAAATTTATTTTCATACCAAATCAGCACAAAAAGTCAAAATTGTGAAATTTCTCAAAGGAAGAAAATTGCCAAAATCATAAAATAATTTTAAAAAAGGCTTTGTTTTAATAGCATCAGATTGTTTTGTTACAATAATGTTAAAACACTTTATTTTGATAAGGAAAAATATTTCATTTCAATGAGGAAAAATATATAATATTAAACATATTCAATAATCAATAGAATATATCCAAAGTATTAAAACTGATATTTTAATGTATCTTAAGTTGAAACACTATCAATCAAAACCAAAACATTTTGACATAACTGAAACAAAACATTGCATTATCACAATGAAACAAGAAATTCCATTAAAAAAATCTTAACTGTTGAAAATTACATTGAAATTGACATGTACTCATAGATTTCTATTATGATGAATCTGCATTTTCTGATGGGAATGTTTCAATGTGCTCTAATAAGAACATAGCTTCTTGAATGGAGTTCTAGTAAAAGTAGGGTTCTAGGATTTTTTTCATCCAAAGAGTTGTTTCTTAAGCATTGAAACATTATTGTTTCTAATGAGCTAATAGAAAATATTATGACTGTAGCACTGGTTACAGTGGTTAAAAAATAAACTCTATAGAAGACCAGCTTTGCCAATGTAGGCTCTTTTAGACGTTTTGTATGAAATTTTCTTATAACAATTAGGGCTGTCAAGAGATCAACAAAAATTTAAATGCACAATTAAATCACAATTATCATACCCTTGGAATAATATAATACTATATATTTAAATATTTTGGATGTTTGCTACCTTTTCAAAGATTTTTATTTCACAAAATACATATTACACAATGCTCACTTTATATTTGTTTTGATAGCAAATATTTGCACTGTAAAATACAAAAGAAATAGTATTTCAATTCACCCAGTATAAGTATTGTAGAGCAAACTTTATCATGCAAGTTGAACCTACAAATGTTGAATTATGCACAAAAAATAATTGCATTAAAAAACAGGGATGTCAACATTATTGCTCAATCCTTGGTTTATTGGTTTATCTTTTTAACCACACGCATTCCCCCACCCTTGCTGCCTCTGTATCAGAGGCAGCAAGGGGCAAGGAGGCAGGAGCCGGTTCCTGTGAGGAGCTCGCTTTAAGCACTGGTTCCACCTGCTTCTGCCCCCTCCCGCACATTGCTGCTCTGATAGAAAGGCAGCAGTGCTGACAGTGAGGGGAGCAGGCAGGAGCTGATGTGTGGGGAGCTGGCTTTTAAACTAGCTCTCCAAGTGTACTGCCTCAGGGGGATCAACCTGTACCTCCTTGCCACCTGCCTTCACCGCCGTGCTGTTGCCTCTTTCAGAGACAGGAGCACAGGGAAGACTGCCTTAAAGTAGCCTTTGTCCACAGTGGGCCTGGGCTTGCTGCAGACAGAGGCTGCTCTGTGGCAACAGTCCAAGTTCGGGGGGAGGGAGAAGGGAGGGGGAGAGAGTCCAAGTTCCCTGTGGACAGAGGCTGCTCCAGCATCCCACATAGCAGTTTCTATCTGGAGGGAGTACAGACCCCGATGAACAGGGGCTTCTGCCACCCCGCACTGCTGCCTCTGATACAGAAGCAGCAGTGTGGGGTGGCAGAGGGTTCCCTGGGAGTGGGGCTGGAAGTGTCAGCCCCACCTATAGGGACTATCGAATAATTCAATTACATTACTATTCAGTTACACTCTAACATCCCTATTCTAAAATAAAACAATTTTAAAACTTTGAAGTCTACAAGTCCCCTGACTCCCACTTCTTTATGCACTCAGACAAATAATTTCATTTACATCTATAGGTGATAATAGTGCCTGCTTCTTGTTTACAATGAAAACAGGAGTTTGAATGGCATAGCAAAATATTTATGTGCCAGACAGATTAAAGATTTGTATGTCCCTTTTCACTTCTACAAGTATTCCAGGGGGACATGCATCCATGCTGGTAACAGGTTCTATTCAATAATGATCCGAAGCAGTGTGGACCAGTGCATGTTTATTTTCAAAGCATGAAGACGCAAACAAATGTTTAGATATCCAACATGTAAATACTTTGCAATGCCAGATACCCAAGTGCTATGTGAATGCCTGTTCTCACTTTCAGATGACAATGTGTGCAGCATAATCTTCTGTAAATGTAAACTTATTTCTCTTTGTGAGTGATTGAACAAGAAGCTACATTGATTGGCCTTGTAGGCGCTAAAGTTTTACAATGTTTTATTTCTGAATGCAATTATATAACACAAAACCTACATTTGTGAGTTGCACTTTCACAATAAAGCTATTGATTTATAGTACTTGTATGAAATGAACTGAAAAATTATATTTCTTTTGTTTGCAATTTTACAGTGCAAATATTTGTGGAAGTATAATTTTATTCTAGTCCATATAAGTGCCTATACTACTTTCATGTCCATAGTACCTGAGGGCTGTCCAGTAGTGCATTATGCCATATGACTAACATTATCACTTAAAACACTTGTGCAGTGTTGTGGTTATTAATCCACATATAGAAAATGAAATAAATAAACATTTAACTCATTACATGGACAGCAGTATTTTTCAGTTATTTTAAAAGCTATTTAGCATCCTCTCAGGATACTTTATATATTTCATTTTTATTTTTGCATTATTTTGATTAATTGCCTGTAATTGATTTTGTTGTGTCGTAAGAAAAGACAAATTAAAATAAAATTAGAATATGCACACCTCATGTTTTCAGCGGAGTCCTCTGGCATTGGAGCAACAGTTTGCACAGCTGGAAGGTTTTTACTGGTAGCACCATTCACAAAGCTAGAGGATGAAGAGGAGGAGGAAGATCCTGAATCCACTGCACCTGTCCCCAAGATAAATTAAGATCTTGTTTCAGTTTGAAAAAAGTTGTTTTTTAATATTTTAATACAATGGTATTTCCTGCCATGCCAGTCTATTTAAAAATAAATAAGTCATCTTATCCATTTCAAAACAATTAATAGTGTTTTAACATATAAGTAACAAAGTTTTACTAAACTAATATGGCTATAAGTGTGTGATACTGCTCTGCAGATTTATAATTAAAACTGATTTACTGCTAATCAGAATGCACGTTAACATGAAAATGAAGGGATCAACAGATCAAAACACACTAACATAAAATGAAATGGCCTGAAAATGAATAAGGATTTGGTCACTTATGTATATATAATTAAAAAAGGGGTTCAAACAAAAATATTCCTGCCTCTCAATTTCATTGCCTTTTTAATTATATTTACAGATCAATGATTAACTCTTTAAAAGTACAAACTAATATTCATATTTTGTATTTACATAGTACTTTTCATTCTCAAATTCCTTTTTCAAACATTAAATAGCAATTCTGGAGAAAAAGAAGCACAATTAAATGAGTCTTACCTCTTGTTCTCAATGATTCTAAAAATAAATTCATTCCGAGGTCTA